ACAAATATTCCTGAATGGGCCTGAGGTATCTTATAATTCTATTGATGCCCCCGTAGCAAATGAGGCACAGGTGTTTACCCCAAAAATTAGACGTCAGATCTTTGACCTTCCTCAAGAATCAGGGCAATTGCAAAGGTATTCATTCTATTCCCAGGGTAGTGTGGTATATTCAAAAAGGGCTATTGTTCCCCAACAACCAGCACTGACTACCCTTGCCTTCAGCCCTTCTACTCCATGACCCTCACTCACTCTGCTTAGAAATCATCATCTGACGCCCACATCTTTGTGGTCAAACTAACCTCCTCCACTGGACGGTTCTTCCTAGGTGGCTCTTCCCTACATTATATTTCTGGGAAGGTCTCTGCACCCTTGTCTACACCTTGCCCAAGATATCCCTACTTCCAGAGAACCATTCTGCTGAAATACCTCTCTGGGTAAGGTTGCCCCTTTGCGAGACTAAATGGCCCTAACAACTTGGAGATTTTACTCAAAACCCAATAATGTCTATGTTGAGGTCCAGCCATTTGTAGTTTTCGTGCTTAAAAACCCTACCCTGGCCACAAGCAAGTGAGCTCCCCTTCTAAGGAAGGAGGATTTCACTTACAAGCTGTTCCCCTCACTTTGAAATTAAATTTCTGTTTGATTCCTGACTCTCCTATCTCTAGCCTGCTCTGTTCAGTTCCAACCATCCACAGGCCAGGGGCCAGTTCGGTCTAGTTGACAAATCAGATGGATGACAAACATAGCACCTGGGAACTCTCTCACATGCATTCCCCCAGAAAAGTAACCCCAGGTTCAAGGAACTCTTTGTGTCAGTGCGCTTTTAAAGCATAGTTCACAAAATCTTAATAATATGTTTGCCAGCCAGAGGATACATTAATTCAAAATAAAATACATTTAATCAAATAGGAGAACAAATAAAAGAGACAAGATTCTCCCCTTCCCATTCACACATGGCTCTTCCATTGGTTATTCACAGTTTAGTGAGGAAGCACTTACTGAGAGCAGGGTACATACATGGAGAGCACACAGATAGCTGACACATGTTGCCAGGGCAATTCACACATCCAATGCTACAGAGATGTCGCTGTCCTTTGGTGGTATCATCAAGCTACTTTCTCACATAAGACACGTCTCTCTTCTCTGCTGATTGTAGCATCTCTACACTCTCTCCTTTCTGAGCTTCTTACTGCTACCATCTACCAGGCTTTAGCTCTGCAAGACCATCTACTGGCTATTTGTTCCTATCAAAATATGGCGACTACAAAGCTTCTCCCTGATAAGGCAAAGTAACTGCTTTTTACACCATTTCTAAGGCTATAGGCAACCACACCTAGCTAAGAACATCTAGGTCCAGACATAAAACAACCAGAATACTCCCAGACTAAGATTAAATCTGTTCTTTTGACTGCTCATGTCTGGTCCTGATTTAAAATCCATCATCTTAGGAAACTATTTGCCTTAAGAAAATTTCTATTGCTAAACTATGCTCTTGATATCATGAAAATAATAACGGTTTCTTTCATTCTATAGAACCTGCCATATTTTTTCCAATAACTCCTTTTATTTAGCCTACCAGACTTTCTATACAACAAAGGAATGTGTCATCTTCCCTGCCCCACCTCATCCTTTTATGTTAAAGATGCATTTCTCATCTGTCTAGGCTAAAAGCCTACTTCCAATTTACCCTGCATATTTCTTGTATGTACATGGTTGTTTACACATTTTCTCCCCCCTTTAGAATGTGGGCTTCTTGAGGGCAGAAACAATATTTGTGACTTTCTTTGTATCCCTGACACATAGAGGGTACTTAATAAATGCTTGTTCATTTGAAAAAAAAAAAAAGATAAGAAAATTTCTTTTAACTCCCATTTAACTCCTTATGGGGGAAACCTGTGCCTCCCAAAGCCCCATTTTGGAGATTTGACCATACACACACACAAAATTCAGGAGCTATGGAATTTGGGACTACCAATCACACTTCACTCCCATGAGCATTGCAATGGGCATGCAAATTACTCTAAGCACAAATAAAAACTAATCAGAGAGAGTAAGGTCATTGCAAAAAGCTATGATCCTATCAAGTGTCCTAATTTCTGTAGAGCTGGGTTATGACCTGAGTTCCTGCCCTACCAGAAATTCTAGTTACAAAATGACCCCAGTAAAGAATGTCTTCAACCTGAGGACAAAAATAACCATATAGCACTCATAGTATAGCACCTCTTCTGGGTTCATTCTCCCAACTCTTACTGGATTAGCAGGTTAGGTATCCCAAAAGGCATGACTACTTCTCCCTTTAGGGTTCTAGGGGTTAACTCTAAATTGAAGAGAGGGAGGAATTTAGTACTATCATTCACAAGCCCCCAGCCTATATATTCTGCAATATGGATCTGCAACCATTTTTGCTAAAAAATCTCAGACTATTGCACATAGAATAAAGAAGAGCAAAGAGTAAGATAATTACAATCACCTGGCCTTTTTGTAGGCTTAGCCATTTTTTTCCTCCAACCACTCTTCCTGATACAGGGCTGTCTCCTCAGTGAAAGACCTCACTCTATTGTACTGTCCAATGCACTTGCTGATTTTGTATTTCTGCAGGTTAGATCATAAGTCAAAAAAAAGGCCATTTATCCAAATAGCATTGAGGCTCAACACTAAGTTTCTCCAGTTCATCAATATAAAAGAGTAGATAAAAGCTATATATTTAGGTCTTACTTAGTATACATAATAAAGTCTGTTAAGTGTTGCATTATTTGAATTTGCACTATTCTGTCAGAATTATATTTAAAATATGGTCATCGGTTCCAGCTCAAAGTAAATACGAAAAATTTCTTAAACAGGTTTTTATCTTTTTATTAGCATAACACCAAAGGATAAGACAGATTCAAGTTTATTACAAAGTAGTAGAGACATCACAAATTTAAAAGTAACTACAAAATATCATACCACAATATCATACTACATTGATATGACAAAAAATGTCAAATTTATTGTCATTTAAAATATTTTAACAGCATCACAACAGAAACTAAGGAAACAAAGGTTCAAATTTCTAAGCAAATCTATTTATTAGCAAGGCTAGCAGCTGCATAACAAATCAGGTCCAAGGTCCCTCAGCAGACACAAATACCATTTGACAGTCAACAAAGCTTTCACATAGTCAATGAGGAATCAATCAACTTACATAATCTTGAGTAACATGGGTTTTCTCTCTTTCTGATTGGCCAAAGTTTTACAAATCTTGTGGTTATTTCAAGAATATCTTGGTATATTCTGTGGTTACTACAAAAACATACCACTAGACAGAATATCCAGGTGACCTTTAAGTTTGTGATGAGAAATAAGTTAAATGTACTTATCTAGAAAGTGATTTATAGCAAAAGCTCCTGTTGTCTGTTAATGTCACAATAACCTGGTTTGAAATATTAAAACGATGAATATGCTGTAGTACTTAAAGGAAGAAGAAATTCCCAGATTGAGATTAACTAAAGTACACTGGAATAACTATTATATTGAACTATTTTATTTATTCAAAGTGTTTCTGTGTTAACAGCTTTCAAATTCATTTCAGTTCATTAATAAGAACATTTATAAAGAATTACTATGTGCATGGCACCATGCTAGGTCCTTGGGATACAAAGAGGAAAGTTTTTTAAAAAATCCTAAAAAAAAAAAGATACACAGAATATCTTGTGGGATTTCCCAGAACATTTTGTGGTCAAGTTCTACCATTACTTCTCAGAACATTTTATACAAGTTGTACTATGTAATTTCCCTGAAATTACTGATCATCATTTCAACTTCTCCATAATCATATGATTTACAGCAAAGCAAGGCCTAGCTCACAAAATGGAAGAAAGACAACCACAAAATGGAGTTAGATTTGGATTCTACAGCAACGTGGAATGTAATGTCTTTTCTTTCTTAAAGAATAAGAATGTAAATATAGGGGCAGCTAGGTGGCGCAGTAGATAAAGAGCTTGGAGTCAGGAGGACCTGAGTTCCAATGTGATCTCAGACACATGACACTCACTAGCTGTATGACTCTGGGCAAGTCACTTAACCCCAACTGCCTCACAAAAAAAAAAAAAGTAAATGCAATATTGTTGTCCTTGAAATTCATTTTAACAACTGAGCTAAAATAACTTGAAAATCAGTCTTCACATTATGGAATGACTGACTTGGATAGACTTGGTTCTTCTCAGCAATGCAAGAATCTAAGACAACTCCAAAAGACTCGCA